TTAGTTGGACATCTATCACGGAGATTATTCAATGGAATATCATGAAACTTATTAAAGATTTGAAAGAAAATATCTGTTGATATAAGCAGCATACACCAAAGATTCACTTCAACATCTCTAATACAACGAATTTCATTTGATTCCGACTTTGTATTCTCATTATTTGAATTGTGATAGTATAAGTTGTTCATATTAGCAAACCTTGAGTATGACAAGTCAGGTTCAAGATGAACAGGTTAGAGTGTAAAAGTGACTCATTCCCTCTCGAATTAAGAAACGTAGGTCAAGTACACTCATCACAACAGTGAAATGATGTGCAAATCCGAATTCAGACCACCACTCAGTTCAGGTCAACTAACATATCACCAACATTCACTCTACAATTCTTCTCCACTCATATTCTCAAACACTCACTCATTCACTCACTCACTCACTCACTCACTCACTCCATCACTCAACATTAACACACATGCTGCAATCTCACTCTCACATTGACCTCCACTCAATCACAAATACTAACGCGAGACAATTGTATATCCACTCACTACATCTCACAAACAGTATAAAAGCAATGTGACTACATTCATTCACAGTGCTTCTCTTCGTATCACATTGAAACACGCTTCTAGTATTTTGCTAGTGTTGTTAATTCAGTGAGAATGGTGAGTGTTCAATATATCGATTTGTTCATCGTGTATTCGTTAATTGGTGTGTTCAGATCCGGTCGACAGTGTTGTTGTCAATAGTGATGATTGTGTCACTCGATAGTTCAGTGAGTGGTGAGATCGTGTTATCGAAAGAAGATGTGGTTCCATTTTTGGTTGGTATGGGTGAGTTGTTCTACGTGATTGATGATTTCTCACATTCATTACACTGCATTCATAATCTCCACTTTGTAATAATCCAAGATGGATTCGCAATTTTATTCGTTTTGACTTGTTAATGATGTTTATGTGTGCACTAGACGTTTGAACGTTTCGATCATGAGTGTTTTTGTTTTTGTAGGAATGGCTGATGAAGATTCCGTCAGATCACGTCTACTGGAGAAGAGAGGCAAATTTACTAACACGAAAAATATAAAGGATAAGAAGGATAAGAAAGACAACAGTCCTATCAAAAATTTATTAAAATCCGCGATTGCTCATGTGCCTGTGTTGCTTCAAAATTAAATCTTCTTCATAACGTTTACTGGTTCTCTGAGTGTTTATTCGCATTCGAATTAGTGTATATTCTGTGAATATAAACTTCAGTGTTATGACGAGCTCGATATTGAATCGAGCCATCACTGAGCAGAATGACTGTGTGATATCTTACTTTATTTACAAACGTATTTTATAATTTGAAATGTATGACGAATTTGAAGTAACTGACAAAACCATTTGGTTACTCGCTGGTGTTTCATGAATAGGCATATTGAATCCATGGACATATTAGCATGAGAAACTCCGTCATTTTCCATTCAGTCTGACTTTGTATTCTTTGAATGCTTTTAGTGACCTGTTTTCATCACGAGAACGCGATTGGTCTGATAGAAACTATTATTATTATAACGAATTATACCAATGATTGTTTGACTGTACTAAAGACATTCTTCTTCCTTCCGTTGATTGTGACCTCGCACGCGCTTATGTTTACTCGGTGATTATGTCCAGTTCTCTCTTCGAAGATGAGTTGTGAAACACACACTGACAAACTCTTATATAATTAATAAAAAAGTGGTGAACAAACATAGAGTACAATTCACAACGTTATCAATACACATTTAAAGTATAACTGTTAGTATAACAGTTAGCAAAATGCCAGATATTTCTAGTTTCTGTATTCGTATAACATATACTTATCGATTCACACTAATAAGGACGTCAAATCTAAATAGCTTTATTATTATTATTACGATTTACAACTTCTTGTATGTACATATGTTGTCAATGAACCCGCTACATTTGTTTTTAGAAATTGAACAATATTCAAGTTTCAATAAAGTTTGCATAATATTTTCTTTCTATGAATAACAGTTTCAGTTTAATTACTAATATTGTTAAGTTGAAATTAAGAATGGAAATGGAAAAATTACGGGAATGTATATGTAGGAAATACAATACATGTAAATAGTTTAGTAAAGGTGTTTTTCCAACAGTGTACAAGTATGTATTGTCAAATGAATAAAAGAAGAAAGAAAGCACTTGAAGTCTTAAAAAATAAACATATACGAGAGACTAAACCATTGTTCCGGTAAGATATGACCGTAGATGAAGTGTTTGTACTGTAATAGTTTGAAGTGATGCTAAAAAAAGTCACAATTCATTATGATGGATAATGAGAGATCAATATGTATGAGTCAAATATACGTGATATAGATAAAATGGATATGAGAAGTTAATTTATTTGTCACACAAAATGATTTGTCTTTAGTGATAGACTTTAAATGTTTAGGTATATATAGTGTATCAAGGGAATAATGATGATAATAGTAACAATAATAATCATAAATATGAACGTAAGAAGACTTCAAATATTAAGATCCATAGTAATATAATCAAATAAACGAGAAACGTTTCAAAGGTTATACTTTAAGTCAACTCAATAGATGACGGACCTTATTCGTAAAAATCATTATTAGAAACACTGATATTCTATAGATGATGCATTTCAAGTTTGGAAAGAAAATCATCGATGAGACTTCTGAAACGGGTTGTAATTTCACTGCAATGGAGCTTAACTGAGAGTCCGTTCCATATAATTGAGTGACTAGGTTTTTTGCTTTGGATACTTGAGATGTAATATGCTCGAAAACGTTCATAAAGTTGCTTTTGTAGGGCCAGCAAAACGTCACTAAGCCCTAGCCAAATCATCCGGCAGTTGGGTCATTGATTATCGAGCAAATCATCGATCCTCGTCAAGGTCAGGGAAAACCAACGCGCATCAGTTAGTCCGATGCCATGGACTGGCCCATGAGGTAGTGGATTTACCTTCGCTTGTATCTACCTCAACGAATATATTTCTTTAATAACGTCCTCTGTGTTGTACAGTCCTCAAAGCATATATGATACCTTGATACGTCAGTTAGGTAGTTCACGTAAGGTGCTGACCACGAGGTGTGACTTCGACGTTAGCTTGTTTGTCACACTATTCACGTCTAACTCGAGTAGGCCTCCAATCATTTCGACATAGATCAACCAGGCTGGTGATAAACACTTTATTTTTCAATTTTATCATTATTATTAGCTATATTTAATACCAAGTTTTTGATACAATATAAAATTCTCAGTGCGGTGTGTTTCAACAGCTTTCCGTTTTTTATTTCTTGATCGATCCTGACGATCAGTGACTCTGTTATGGCATAATGAAGTTAGGCTCATTTATTTATTTATCTGTTTCCTAACGTCAGGTAAGCAGTTTGCTAGTTGTATGGTCATTTATACGTTGAGCTTGTTGCAACAAATGCAGCAGAAATCAGTGTGTAGGGTCGCAATTCAGTCCCATTCAATCATATGACATTACATGTTTATTTGATTGGACATTCCCTGAAAAGCATCTTCGTGTGAACCTTCCACATTATCTCCACACCATTATTTTACACATCGCGGATGAAGAATTATAATTGCAAATCATGTTTCTTACAGATATGATAAGTTTCACAAAACAATGTATTGCAGCTCACGTGGAATTGAATTTGTTCACATTTAATTTGGTCAAGCCCTTTCGTTAACTTATTTAACGGACAGAGTCATTTGTATGGTAGCAATTTATCTACACCACTGTATCTTTCTTATCGTTTCACTTGTATGAATATGTATTATTGAGCATTGCTTACTGCCTACTCATATATTCATTCTGCTAGCCTTACTATTAGTCGCTTAAGTGATTCGATGATTCACTCATTTCAATATGTATATATATGTACATTTTACTCATTCATTCGACTCACACGCTCACTTGCTCACTCACTCGCTTACCCGATTGCTTTTCGGCACTGCTCCTTCATGCCTGGTTAGTGCATCTGTAATTTTGGTGATCTGTGCGTGGTGCAATAATAAGCTTATTCTTCTGATTAATACACCGTTGGGGTGTTTTCTAGTGACAGTTATCATGGTGAACGTATACGAAGTTTAAGGATTATATTGAATACCGACCACCATAAATGGGTGGAGTGTCGATATGCAGAGATAGTCACTTCAATACCGTTCCACCACACAGTAGTGAATTAACCAATGTCATAGAAACACTCAAGTTAGCTTCTACTATTACTCAATAATAGCTGCCCTTATTTTGAATGCTTTCCCGATCGAATTGACCATTGCCCTCTTAGAGGATGGCTTTAGTGGAAACTTGATAAAAACACACACATCCATGAATTACAGATTCCCAGTTGAATAAGGTTTTTCCGATGCATGTCTCATAAATTACTGCATAATCACTATCGTATATCAGTAACCCCTTTCCATCTCGCTTATTTTCATTTACGTTCCCCTCCTTAACAGTTGTCTATTTATACGTGAAATAATCGTTTTCTCTTAACGCTCGAATTACCACTTTGTTATTTTTTGCTATCAGACCAACCAGTCCTCGGCTTAGTAACGCCATAGCTGTTGGTATTCAGAATCCTTGGTGCCCTGAGACAAACACACAGACAAACAACAAGATTGAGATCCACAAGTAACTACATAAATCACAAGAATTAGTGGAGTCGAATGGCTACACTACAAACCGTTTGAAATAAACGGATACCTGTAATTGTTTGAGACATCAAGAGGTGAGGGCAAGTAAATCAATTCTTCAATATGCAACGATTCTGCCTTTCTTTTTACTGCAGGGCGC